TCTTCCTCATATGGAGATGGAACTGCCTGTGTTTCAACTGACACTCATTACCCCTTGTCCTGTCACTGGCCACCACCGAGAAGAGTTTGGTCCCATCCCCCCTACATTCTCCCTTCAGGTACTTATTGATCAGATCTCCTCTCAGTCTTCTCTTCTCCAGACTAACCAGGCCCAGCTTGTATAGTCTTTCCTCATGCGCAAATGCTCCAGTCCCTTAATCATCTTCACGGCTCTCCGCTGCACCGTCTCTAGAAGCTCAATGTCCTTCTTGTACTGTGGGGTCCAGACCTGCACACAATACTCCAGGTGTGGCCTCACCAGAGCTGAGCAGAGGGGCAGGATTCCCTCCCTCAACCTGCTGGCAACGCTCCTCCTGATGCTGCCAGGATCCCACTGGCCTTCTTGGCCATGAGGGCACACTGCTGCCTCCTGGTTAACTTGGTGTCAGGCAGGACTCCCAGATCCCTCTCTGTGGAGCTGCTTTCCAGCAGGTCAACCCCTAATCTGTCCTGGTGCCTGGGGTTATTCCTGCCCAGGGGCAGGACCCTGCACTTGTCCTTGTTGAACCTCATGAGGTTCCTCTCTGCCCAACTCTCCATCCTGTCCAGGTTTTCGCATGCATAGTGCGCATTCTCTAAAAAACATAGTTTGAAAATAAGCCCTTGAATAAGCTCCAGAAAGACAGAGGCAAAAGTCATACTAGAGGGTGAGACAGCAAGACTCAGAGAGACTCAGGTGCAAGAGTTCATCTGTGTTGGTCATTCATGTCGTATCTGCAATGCTGCCAAGTCAGAATATTCTTGCTTTCACAGAACCTTGTGAATTACACACAAAATTGCTGTCTCATGAGGCTTAATCCAAAAGGATCGATGTGATTATAAATCAGAGTACCTGTTCTTCCAGCTGCAATATTTGTAAGGCCGTCTGGAAATGAGATGTATATTCCTGGACACGTGATGTTTTTCTAAATACTGCTTGAGAAATGCTCCCAGTGCGAATCCCTGTCGTGCTCAGTGAGTGTGTAGGTTTTGTCAGTGTCTCCTGACAGTGGCCCCAAACCTCTACCACATCCTGCAGGAGGGTTTGGGCACCATTTGTGGTGAGCAGGAGATGACCTGGCTGCTGCTGGGCAATGCCAGGTGAGGAGCAGGGTGGTTTGGTCCCAGCACTGAGGTGGGATGGATGCAGGAGGGGTCCCGTGCATTGGTGAGCTTCTGAACCAAGGTCCCAACCTTTAGCAGAACAACTTTGCTAGACTGAATAGCATGAATTATTTTCTCCCGGAAAACAGGACAAAAGAAGGTAAATATTCATTTTGTGGATTAAAAAAAAAAAAAAAGAAGCAAGGCAGATCCATTTCCCTGAAGGAGTGAAATATAATTCCAACTCCAGTGCTCTGATGATAAAAAAACACCCTTATACACCGGTCATTTCAATGTCATTGTTTTATTTTATCTTTAAATGTGCCAAGTCTCCTTTATTATAAGTATCAGAGCTGCACACTGATCAGAGAAGCCGTTGCTTTCTGAGCTGGCTATAGTTTCCAGCTATGGTTACAATTTAAAATGTTTTGAATATTTTTTAAGTAAGGGCAAAGTGTCTAATGAGAATTAAAATAGCAGTGTGATGTAATGGGCATCACCAAGCACCAGATACGAAATGTCCCTTCACGACCATCTGCCTATTCTGCTCTGGTCTGGTTCACTGTCTCAGGTCAGGACTGGAGCAACACTAATGACAAGATGTTACTGTTATCACTAGCAAGTAGTAGAGGTCAGCCTGAACCAGAATCCCACAGCTTGAAACTCTGGAATTTTGACCAATCAAGGACTATGACTTAACAGCATGTGAAAAGTTGTGCCTTGGAGAGGTAGGAGCACTGTCTGACAAGTCTGTCTTCTGCTGCTGATCCATGAATCATCCTGACAATACTCTGATTAGGGCAACATAGCTTTCAAACCTAGGCCTGTCAGAAATTAAGTACCTGTGGGACTAATTCCCACAGGTGACCCTCAATGAGGCTGGCTTGGTGCATTCTGTTTTCCAGAGGAGTTTCTTTTGTAGGATTAGGATTTTACCCACAGTACTCTTGATTTTCCAGAGAGCTCTTCATGCTTTCAGAAGGAAATTCAGCAGAGAGAGTGTGTGAAACCACTGAGCAAAGGAACTTCCATCCAGTTTATGCTCCATTACTTTGTTAGGTAGCTGCATGTTCTGCAGCAAGACTCCCTGAGCTCAGAACAGAGCAAGGCAGGTGCTAGATGATACAAAGAGCAGCCACCAGAATAAAAGCATAGGCCAAGGAGAGTCATTCGCCTTGAACAGTTTGCAAACACAGCCCCTTTTAGAAAGAAAGACAAAAAGACTTTCAGTCTACCTTTCAGTTCCAAAGACAACCCTTTTCATCTCTGCAGAGAGGGACCTGGGTGTCATGGTGGACAACAAGTTGACCATGAGGCAGCAGTGTGCCCCCGTGGCCAAGAAGGCCAATGGGATCCTGGGGTGCATTAAGAAGACCGTCTCCAGCAGGCCGCGAGAGGGCACCCTGGTATGAGGAGAGGCTGAGGGAGCTGGGCCTGTTCAGCCTGGAGAAGAGAAGGCTGAGAGGGGACCTGATCAGTGTCTATAAGTACCTCAAGGAAGGGAGTGTAGAGGATGGCGCTGGCCTCTTTTCAGTGGTGGCCACTGACAGAACTAGAGGAAATGGCCACAAACTGAAGCACCAAAAGTTCCACAGGAACTTAAGGAAAAGATTCTTAATCATGATGGCGACAGAGCCCTGGAACAGGCTGCCCAGAGAGGTTGTGGAGTCTCCTTCTCTGGAGATCTTCCAAACCCGCTTGGACGCAGTCCTGTGCCACGTGCTCTAGGTGAGCCTGTGTGTGCAGCGGGGTTGGACTAGATGATCTGTAAAGGTCCCTTCCAACTTCAACCATTCTGCGATTCTGTGTTTCTTTTCTGTGCTGTTGTGTTTGGAAGGAAGGAGTCCCCTTGCATCTTACACAGTTTGACCTCTGCTTGGTCTCAGTGCTTTCCATCCTAGAAAAGCAGTTTTCAGTCTATTCCACTCTTCAGTGGGTGGGCTTGGATGACCTTGCATGGCAACTTGGGCTGTTTAGATGTGCCCTCTGCATCGTGTGCTTTTCACAGCAGTCTTTCTTGGATTCCTAAGGAGGAGACTGTGGGTTTTCAAGGGATTACAAATTATGTATTGAGGGCCCTCATTCTAGAGCTGGCCAGGTTCCACTGGGTCAAACAGCAAGTTTATGTCATTAGCCATTGCGTAAAGTATCCACTGATCTTTCTTGCTTTTGTTTGCAGTGGATTCTTCAGACAGATTTATTAAGTTCCTTCTGTTTACTGTTTAAGCACCTAACGCTGCAGCGACAGAACCTTGTCCTAACTTGCAGAGTTCTTACCATATCTCTAGGGCTGCAGAAACTCTTGTCTATGGCTGCAGAGCTGAAGGTTAGTGGGAGAAGCCCAGCAGCCCCCTCCTCCTGAGGGCGCCTTGCTGCCTGCGGAGCTGAGCGGGCAGCCCTTGGTGAGCACCCATCAGAGCTGACATGCCTCGGGCTGCTGAATCCCTTGGCTTTGGGCCAGTGAAAGATACAGTTAAAGTATAGTGGCTCTCATAAAATTATAAGTATAGTGGCTCTCATAAAATTATAGCAGTACCATAAAGATGTATTACTCTTTCATAAGTGACATTAAGTGTCTGAATGTCTACAAGAACGTGGACAATCATCACCACTCCTCTTTCAGTTCCTGCCTGTGAGGCTGATGTTGTTCTTTAAAGAAATGCACACCACCTATCTCCACCTAGCTCATAACACTCATTTTGTTCCTCAGTAAAGTAAAGCATTCCCTGTTACTCCTTTGCGATTACCTGCTGTGTGTGGCAGTAAATTTTTAGCCCAGCGACAGCTTCAGGGTGACTCCACATCGGTCCCTTCTGCCGCATCTGACGTTTCAAAGGACAAACTTGTGGGAAGTCTTCATGAGGATCCTCTATGTCATCTTTCTTACAATTCCCACCCTATGTGAACAACTCCAGGTTGTTCTTAGCCAAATTTAATATGTTGCCAGATCAAGCTGTTTTTATTCCCCCTTTTTATTTATTTGTTTTCTAGCATACTCAGCTAAGCTCAACAAGTTTCCTGTCTTTAATTTTGATGACGAGCTCAAGTACCTCTGTATCAGTGCTGTGAGCCCCAACACCACCAAGACTACCCTCCATGCTCTCCACATGTGGAGGCACTGGTGCAAAGAACTCAGGGAATACATGGGCATCACCAAAGTCAGAAAACTTAGCTTGTTCAGAGGTTGAAGCGAGCCCACCCTGTCAAATTAAGTTATCATAAAGTTTGGAGAAATAGCATTGAAAAGAGATGGAATTTCAGCCTTCTTCAGGCTCTCATGGCTTCTGGGATCTTCCAAGTTTCTCTTTTAAAGCAATAATCTTTCCTAATTTACTACTTATTGTCTTTATCATTGACCCAGTAGCTTGGACACTGAAGGTGATACAAGAGATTTCTGAGTATTTAAAACTTTTAGGCAACTTTGTCCTCACGCTGCCATGTGACCGGATTTCCTGTTGTTACCTCAACAATGCAGCATTTGTGTGTCATAGACATGACATCCAGCCCAAGACTCAGCCGCTGCAATTCCAAGTGTCTAAGGACTTCCAAAACGAACTCCCAGCAAAATCAATTTACTCTTCAAAGCAAGAACTCTGTCTGAGGCCCCCATCCACAAAAGTGTAGAGAGCTCTACTCACATTTTTAGACTAGCTTTCTTTGTTAGGTTGACCTAATTTTTTGTTGTTGTTTTTTGTTTTTTTTTTTTGAGAAGAATAAACTGTGAATAAGAGAAGTGTGGCCGACACAAAACTCCCATAAGACTCCCAAGTTCTTCCCAGGCGTTGGTGGCCGAGGTCAGGGCCCCTCACTGCAGGTGCCTGTGCCATGGGATGGCTGCTGAGGTGCTGCACCCCATGCTGTGCATCCTGCTTTTGTAGAGCTCCTTCCAGGAACCTTGTGCCTGCAGGTCAGCCCGGTGCTCACGCAATAGTGACATCTCATGGCCCAGAGAAGCACTGGGATCCCACAGAGAAAATGCTGGGGGGTTTCTCTCTCTCCTTCTCTCCCTTCCTCTATTTTTTTTCCTCTATGTTTCTTAATTCTCATATTCAAGAAATCAAAGGCAACGTTGTCTCTGTTTTCTTCCTATGACTTCAAGCACCTCATTATGATCAGCTTAACTCTCCACTTTAATTAAGAGATTATGAAGATTATTAGTACATGTCAATGCAAAGTAGGACTGGAGAGTTTCCATGACAAGAACATTACTGGAAAAGTACGGAGCTTGAGGCTCCTGTTGTATGTCAGACATTTGCACACAGCGACACCTCAGCACTGAAACCACCCACCTCAAGAGGGTCAACAACTCAGCTGCTTTCTCTGAGTCCCTGCTGGCAGCCAGTGAGACAGGTCTGCTCAGACAGGGCTGAACACGAAGCGTCTTCCCAAGGCTCTAAGGCTGCACAAGCCCTATTTCTGGGGAGGCCTGGAGGTCCGCAGCAGGTTTCTCCACACAGAACATGGAGAAATCTTACAAGTGCATCTTCCACACCTTCCGCGTGTCTCCTCGCACACCAGCGCATTGGCACATCTTTTGTTTCCCTCTTGCTCTAGATCCCGGCTGTGAAGCTGAATGAACTCCTGGAGGATTTCTATCTCACTGTGAAGAAAATGGATGGATCAGATTTTCTGGCCACATCACTCCACGCTATCCGCTGGGGCCTGGGCAGGATCCTGAACAACTCAGTGGGTTTCTCCATCGTCAGCAGCACATTCAGCTCCTCCACCAGAAAGCTCAAGGAGAAGCCTGGGGTCCTCAGCACGGCTTGCATGGCTGGTGCCGCTCCCGCAACGTCGCCTGCCTTCCCCTGTGTGACCAGGAGGAGACGTAGGGGACGGGGTCCTGGAGACAGCAGCCCTGTGGCCCTGCTCTCCACAGTGGTGAAACATGACAGCCAGTGCCTGAAGATGTGAATGTCGCAGGAGCGTGCGGACCTGATGAGTGGTGACATCGAATTACTCAAAGACTCCCCAAACAGGCCTTTTTTTTTTCCCCAGAATGGATAGTGTGACGCGAGGAAAGAGGCTGAGCACAAATAAAGTGTGTCATGGCCAGACATACCCCGAGCACTCAAGAGGCCCCAACCTCTGCCCTTACTGCACTCCCCACAGGTGTCTGCACGCGCATGGGGACACGTCTCTGGGGCTCGACCTGCCTGCCCGCAAGGAGCAGAGCAGCAACGGGGACGTGGGGCATGAGGAGCAGAGGATGGAGCTCCGCTCCCTCCACGTGGCCGTCCCCAGTCTGGCAAAGAAAGTGAAACCAGAGCGCAGAAGTTTTACTTTTGCCTCCTTCACCCAGGATTCCTCAGGTTGGCCCTCCTAACTCCTTTCAGTAACTGTGTCCTCCAGCTGCTCGCAGCAAACATGTCTAACATGGTACGGAGTGCCATTGAGCTCCAGAGGGTATTTCAGCATCCCCAGCTGTTGAGCAAAAGCCTGCTATTGCCGGGATCCTCACTGCAGAAGCTGTTACTGATGAAATGAACACTACAAGGATATCTCCAGATGTGAGCTCATAAACACGTGATTGAGAGGTCATACTGCAGCACACGCAGGCACGCTACAGGAGTAAGGAATGCAGAGAAACATGGTGCCTTCTCACACACGTGCTTTCAAGGACTGGCTGAGAAAATGATTTCCCACTAGCCTCAGTGTGCTGTGAGGAAGGTGAGCTGCTTTTGAACAGCAGCATCAAAAAGTGGAAAGAAAGGGAATTACATACTTGCTGAAGAGGACCACACGTGCTGCTTTTTTATTACTGGATTAATATAACTTGATTGTGGAAAGATGGGGCTGGTCCTGATGAAAAGCAAGGTTGTGGCAGCTTTCCACAGGTAGCTAGGAGGCAGTGATGTTCACTGCTCTCTCCTGCAGCTTTTCCAAGCTCATGTGATGGTAACAGGGACAGGAGCTTCTGCTTGAATGATTTATTTCAGAGAAGCACATGGGGCAGAATATAACATACTGTGGGAATTGCTTCCAGGAGTATGCTGTTCCTCATTACTTTCCCTTGTTTCACTGATGATGGGGCATTCCCTGATTAAAAATATCCATAAGTATGGACTGAGCCCTGCAGAGCAAACCACCAGTGAAGAGTGTGAAAAGCAGAGTCTGAGCTGAGACTGAGTTAACTGGTGTTTGAAAGAGACTTGACTACCTCAAGATGGGATCAGTGTGGATAACTATCCAAGACCTATTCCTCAGAGGTGCTGGCCTCCTGGAGCGCTTTATTCAGTCCTCGACCCAAACAGTGCCATGGCAATAAGAACCATGTCTGTAACTCAATGGCACCCCTCTGCTTTTGCATATTCTGTCTTTAACAGTCAGTATATATCCTAGGAAAGCATCTGGCTTACATCCAATATTCCCAATGGGAAAACAATTCCTTCTACAAGTTTTGCAAATAACTGAGTACTCCATATGTGAAAACTGAGCAAATCCCCAGGTATGGAAGGTGCCATAAGTCCTCAGACGGGCTTTGAGTTATCCTGTTCATGGTCCTTTCTTGTTCTTGCAGATACCTTTGAGCAAATGCTCACAGTGCTTCTGGATACTCTAAGGTTTTTATAGGGACATAAAGTCAGTGAAATGAGAAAAAAATATTACTAAGTGCTTCCAGAATCAAAAAAAAAAAAGTCTTGATTTTGTCTGTCATTTTCCTTTGTCTGATGCTCCTATGTTTGGTAATTTGATGTCTCTTCTCACACTTGCTTGTTTGGAAATAAAGGCAGTATCACCTTTGCAAACTGTCAGCTGCCAGAGTATTTCTGAAATCCTAGCAGGCTCCTTGCGAAGGAAAAACATTCCTCACCCAATCCTAGCAGATGTGGTGCTGGTAGATTTTCTCTGAAATCTTGCCTGAGATGCCCTAAAATGTGAGTAAGATACGGAGTGGCACAGGAGTTATTTCTATAAATGGGATTAATTTTCTGCAATTCTCAGAGGAGCTCAACTGAAACAAAGAATGCTAACACAGGCCATAATAGCCTATTTCAAACATAAAGGGCTCAAACTCTGCCCTACTTTTGGTTAACTCCAACATCTAACAGCCAAACTGCACCGTACACAAGTTAAACCACAGGCCCAGAGGAGGCAGCTCGGGTGAGGGCGCAGCGCAGTCGTCTCCAGATGGTGCCTCACAAATCAGGGCTCATCGCTGGCTCCGCGGGCGCTGCAGGCATCGCGACCCCTCTGCGCCCTTCCCCGCCTGTAAAACTGAAGGCTGGAACACGAACTTGGTCTGCCTCCACTGAAGTCCTGCTTTAAACAACAAAATAGACTCTGAAGACACAAAAGACTTTAGTCTGCGTATATCTGTTAACAGTGAAACGTTTTTGCACACTGAATGAAACTGTCAACCACTAATCCGAATATATAAATAACTACACAAAATTTGAGAGTGACAAAGGCTTTCAAGCTTGTGATTTGAGCTTTTAAATAATCGGTGCAATTTTTAGCATAAAAATAAGGTAAAGTTTGAACAACTGATGTGAAATGCCAGAAGTAGCATCTGCTGACGCTGAAGCCCTTAGCTCAGAGACCTCAGTGAGAACAGACCGAATGCCACGAAACCACCCTTCGTAATTCAGAACTGGCATGAACCTGGCAGAGCAGAATAGCTAGCGAGAACAGGAGACGTTTCCTCACTAGCTGTTAAGCATATTTTTGTAAAGATTCCTACCATATTAATTATGTTTTCAACACTCAGTGAATGTGATCTGCTAAACCTGTATTGAGGAGAAGAGTTAAAACTCGTTTCCTGGTGGAGGTATGGCATGATGTGCCTCGAATCTGCCAACAGCAAGAACCAACTAACGAGGACAGAGTGCTCTACATGCCGTAAGAAAGTCTGGGATAAGATTTTTTTAATTCCAGCAAATGGAAAAAACTCATCGGACAGAGTTTTAACCCAACGGCATGCGAAATCTTTTTAACCTAGTGTCTTTACCGTAGTTGTAGAAAGCTCGGTGAAGTAAATTTTAGCTCAAGATTTCCTACAGCCTAGTGCTCCTGAGCACAAGAATTGCGAACGATTTCCAGACACAAGGGTGTGATCTGCGGATGCCAGGGGGTTTTCCCCTCCCTGAGGTGAATGGTTACGCAGACGTGCAAAGCCCTGCGCGGTGGCACCTCAGGTGGGCACCGAGAACCCTCCGCCGCCTCCTCCAGAGCTGCCTGGACACACAACACCCAGCCCAGCCCTGCTCATCTCCAAGCTTCTCCTGGAGGATCCCTGGGCCTCTGGCCATTCCCAGGGACACGGGCAGTCACTGTGGATTCGGAGAAGTGGCACAGTGTAGTGACCCTGTCTTTCGGAAGGATGTGGGATTTGAAGCTCATTTGACAGCCGGTGCTGGCCAGCTGCAATTCCCATCTGCTTCCTCGGGCACTGTTGTCATTTTGAACATACCGTAAGGCAGATGGAGGGTGAAGGAACATCTCCTGGGTGAGGTATCCATTCCTAGCAGTGCTTCCTGCTGGTGAACACACCAAGCAAGCCCTGTTTCCACTGTACCACAGCCCTTAAGGAACAGCTGAAACAGTCACTGCCTCGAATGAGAGCCTGTGAGCGCATGGGCCACCTTCTAGGCATGTTCCCTCCTTGCAGCCCTTGTGATCAGTGCCTGCCGCTGCAAATACAACAATAAGCCACATACTCTTCCACTAGTTCCAACTTCTCTGTTACCTGATGATGATTAATGACTTCCTCTTCTTTTCAAGGACACTCGGAGAAAGCCTGGCCTCCTTATAGACTTTTTATATAAAAAAAAATCACTGTGCTCTTACCACTCTGCTCAGAAGCAGGAGTAACAACCACCTCCAACCTTTAAGGGACATAGCCAGGCTCACAGGCTTGTCGAAACACCTGGCTCACAGGGGACTTCTCAGCATGAGCAGAATTCCAATAAATTCACAGGGATCACAGGTTAGAGCTGGCTTGTCTCAAACTGGCACAGGCAGGTGGAGGGATATGGCTATTTTAACTAATATATATTTAAGCAAGCAGCAAGTTCCTGCAAGTGACATCACCTCAGGTGGAATTTATTTCCACTAATGAAAGTTTTATGGGACATTTCATATCCTGATGTAAGGTGCAAATGATTTCAGATATAACTGATTAGTTTTATACAACACTCCTAAGAGATCAAGGGTATAACAATTCTAAAAGCCGGAGACTAAAAAACAGAATAAACCCCATGAAGACTCTTTTCAGCAGGTTATGCTGCTTGTGTTAAAGCTGAATGGAGGTAAGATGAGTGACTTTGTTATCTGAATGCGGAAAATGAGTATGTGGAGGGCAATCTTGTTTAGTGGAACAGCAGCGAGCTAACAAGAAACTCAAACAATATTTTTCGTGTCTCAGTTTCTTGACAGACTGTAATTGTGTCAGTCACTTAGCACCTGAGTCCTCTGTCCATCTTTTATACGTCTTACTTAAGTATATAGGTCCCCCAATACTGGAAATAACTAAGTTCCACAAACCTGCAGGTTTCTTCATGGAAATCCTGCTCTATCAAGCCCAGCCTGATGGGATCACGGCCTATAACCATAATGCAATGAACTGCAGGGAAAAAAGCGTTTGACAATTAATTTTGTAGTTGTAGAAGCTGTAGTTGTGCAGTGGCAGCATGCGGAGTGTCCATATCCCACCAGGGCCACCGCATGGGCTAATGCCATGGTAAGAGCTTTGTGGAAGTTACTTCCTACACAGCAGGGAGCAAACTCTCTTTAAAAACGCCGTCACATTCAGGATCTGAGCAGGGAAGGAGTGCACATGGAGAGGACTAGAACCTCAGTGGTGAAACTAACTCTGGCCAAGTACAACATGTTGTTGAGATCAAAGAGGGGAAAACCCCTGTGAAGGCCAGGTGGACAACACTGTAGGCATAGGGATGTATGAAACGCATCTCTCTTACCCCCTCTCCAAATAATCCCTACAGCTGACGAAAAGCAGATGGTAAACTGTTGTTGCAGACATACACCATGCTCAGTCACGAGTAGATGGCAGGAAAAGGGGACATCATACACACTTCAGCAGTACAATTCTGCAGCTTCAAAATCTGTAAACAATCATGTTTGTCCTCAATTCACTTAAGTGCCTACAACAAAACAAACAAGCAATAAAAACAACCTTAACTCAGAGCTAAGTAACCCAACTCACTGCCAAAAATCTTTAGTTAAGGCAGAAGCTGCTTTCTTACTGCACGGATCTAGCACTCTAGGACTTGAGAGAGTCTGGCATCCGACTAATGACATTTGTGTTACTTTTAAGTAGTAACGAGCAGTGTTAGCACAGGTGCAAGAGCCAAAGCCACCACTGTGTCACTGCATCTTGTAAATTCTGCAGGCTGGTCGGGCAAGCCCAACAGGCAGCTAAGGTCCCTTGTACTGCTAGTAAGGTAGATCCTCCTAAGTGCCCCAGTGAGGAACCTGACTTGCATGGCAAGACAGACTAGCAAATTAATTGAAGTTTCTCTTGAAAGACTGTGTTACATACCCTGACATACTGGCCATCACTGAAGTACAAGCCTGTTTCCATGTGATCATGGTAGTGACCCCAGGCATGTCCTGGTCAGGGTACCCTGGAATGGCTAATCATTTGAATTTGAAATGCAATTTCAGTAGCAGAAAAAAGACTTTTATTTCCTGGGATCCCCATACAGTAGATTAACATTTTAATACAGATTAATAGGAGAAAAGAAAAGATGAGCGTGGTAAGACAAATTGAGGCACATGACACTAATTGCTAGACGCTGCAGTTTATAAGACAGAAGCTTCCATACACAGTATTTGTATCTTTGACAGTTAATTAAAACTAGATATATCACCAAGACCCTCACAGTTCCACAGAACATTTTTAAAGCATTTTAACTTAAACGTATTGCAGCAGCTTTGTCTTTCTTTCCCCCCCTCTGCCTATATCCATCTTTGAGTGCTGGATTTCCAAGAGCAGATCTGTCTATCAGAAATGAAAATACCACCCCGAAGGTAAGAAATTGTGCACTTAAGTACACGTAAATATATGAAATGGACTCTTATAAAGGAAAATGCTCTTGACTGTGTCACTGCTTGTATCATACGCACTTTGTGCAGTAACACAGAGGTTCTGTCTGTTTACGCAGAAGGCCGTTTCCAGAGAAAGGTGACGTGCTTTGCTCACTTTTCTCAACAAAAAAGTGGTCCTTCCATGTGAAATGTCTCGTGTACATTTTACACTCAGCGATAAACCTAAAAATTGTACTTCTTTCTCTGACTGCTTTTGCTTCTTTGTCCTTGTTTCCAAGTGTGGACTGGTTCACTATTGCCTCTCATGCACACAGAGCTCGGACCTGTTTATTCAGCACCTCCAGGCTGCTCAACTCACACTGCAGTGACTGCCCTGGGTGGCTCTGGGGTAAAGCTGCTAATTGAAAAGAAAAAAAATGGTAAACCAAACTAAAGGTGAGCTACACACCACAGTATAAACTGATAACAGAAGCAGCAGTACTCTTTCCTGCACTGCCCACAAAAAACACCATTCCAATGAGTCACAACGTCAGACCATGCTCAAAAAGCACACGATGTGAGTAATCCCTAATAAAACAGTCCCTCTTTACATTCCCTCAGGCCTACTCTACCAAATTCCTTTTCCTGAAAAGGCTCCAGCGCGCCACAGCTCATACAGGGGTCCTTACTGAACAGCGGTATGTGAAAGTGGTGGCATTTGCCCCATACTCTCTTGCAGACCTGTACCAATCTCTTGGCTTGTGCTCTGTTTTCTTAACACATGAGGAATGAGACTGTTAGCAATGCAGACAGTTCAACAGCCCTCCTCGAGCTAAGGCAAAAGCCTGTAGAAGGAAACAGGAGGAAACAGCTTCCTATACTCATTACACAGTGCTCATACTTCTGAAATTATTTTTGCAATCCTGAAAAATACAGTTTCACAGAAGACAGCAAAGTCTGGCAGGAACTAATTCTAATTTTTGCTCTTCACCAAAGTTCTTGTTCTTTTTTCTTAAATCTCATCTCTCGTGGTTTCAAAACCAACCAGTGTTAACAGCAGTAGCATAATCATACTCCTGAAGGTATGGGGCTACGGAGGTTGATGGAGATACTAACAATGTCTACACAGTGATTTTTTTTTATTAAAAGCTACTTTATGCACATACTAAATCTGTTCATCTTAAGATAAACTGCTTTTCTTTCAATGTGAAACTGCAATTGCTTACTACAGTTGAAAATAGTACAGAAAAGAGGACCCAAGCAGGAAACACACTCAAAAAGACATGATGAGAAGGACGACCTTTTGAACTGAATTGTCTTTGCAGACACTTTCCATCTGAAAAGCCTGGAGAAGCAACAGGCTTCTTTGTTTTGTCTATGAAAGAATGGTTTGAAACAAATTATGCTTTTCCTCTACCTTGGTGACTTAAATTCATTCATAGTTCATAAAACAAAATTAGAGGCAGATAAACTGTATCTGAAGACTTCAGACTACAGGATATTGCTTCAACAGTCGCATGCACCAGCAAGGCTCCTGCACGAAACAAAACAACTAATTGATGATTTCAATAAATCCATGTCTTTGCTTTGATGGGCAAAAGTAACTTTACCGTCTTTAAAGCCAAATATAGTACCTGGACACAATAATAAGGCACACAAATGTTGAAAAAAAGCACATCTTCTGATGATTCTGGTTTGGACATTTACTTAAAGCAAGCACAGAAATGGGGATGAGAAGAACAAGCACTATGTGCTTTATGCACTGTGCATCTTGTCTTATGGCTAACTGTGCTGAGAGAGGAAAAGAAAATACAGGACACAATAAATTCTGCACTGAGCAGCACTGTTTTTTCACTGCTGCATCTGATTCCCCCAAGAGGACAACCACATAAATCCAAAACAAAACGGATTTAATATACAAAGGTAAAGAAATTACAAAACCAGAACATTTTCTTAAAATAAAGTCCTCAGCTGCTCTGACAATCCATTTAAAACAGCTTTCAGAGATAACAGTTCCTGCTTTAAAAAGAAATCAGACCTTGCAGTTCTGAGAAATATAATTTCTCATTCTGCCTCAAGTCGAGGTAAGACAGGAAGAATAAGATTTCCAAAGGCAGAGTCTTGAGTTATGAAGTATCCCGAGGAATGTGCATGTGCATGCTGGAAAGAAAGAAACATTTGTTAACACATAACCTCCTGCAGCAACAATACAAGTCCAGGCTTTACAGCTTCTCTGGCTTTAATAATTTATTTTTCCCAGCTTGCCCTTCAGTTCTGATAGCAAACTCAAACCTCACATTTTAGATCAAACACATCCGAGTAGGACCTATCTAAAGAAGTAATTTGGCCAATCTCTGCTACTACTTTTTTGGTAAATCACACGGAGACCACGTCAGTGGTCTGCACAGGCTGGACTCTGACCGCTCCAGCGGTCACACTGGACTCCTGTATTCCCTCCTTGCCCCCTGGGAAGGCGCCCTGCTGGCTCTCACGCTGAACCCAAGAGAGGAGTGCATCCTTGTGGTCACAAAGCCACCAGCACAGTGGGCTGCAGCCACACCAGCAGAGGCTGCTGGCCAAGGGAAGCGGTTACTTCCTTCTCATCAGCACTCAAGAGACTACACTGGGGATACTGGGGGACACTGTGTCCAGTTTTGTGCTCTCCACCAAGAGAGACAAAATGCAGGGAGTCCAATGGAGGACACAGAGAAGCCTGGAGCGCTTGGTATCTAAGGGGATGTCAAGAAAACTGAGTTTGTTTAGTCTGGGGGAAAAAAAAAGGGCTCAGGACAGATCTTATCTTCAACTATCTAATAGAGAAGACAGAGCGAGATTCTTCTCAGAAGAGCAGAGTCACAAGTGCAGCATAGGAAACACCAGATAAATATAAGATTTTCACTGTAAGAGTGCTTAAAAACTGAACTGGTTGCCTGAAAGTCTGTGAAAAGTTCTGTGAAAAGCTTCAAAACCCAAATGGACCATGGCCTGAAAGACTAAAGATTCTAGAGGGTCCTTCCAATGTAAAACATTGTTTGATCAACAGGGACATTACCCAGACTTCCTTTTCACTCCTGCTTCCATTCATTTCAGCAAAAGCAAGCTGGTGCCCCTACTGACTAACACAGGCAAAATGAGGCAGAGAGACTGGCATAGAGGGAGACAGGGAGACAGGTATTTCAACTTTTTTCCCATGCCTTTGCCCTCTGTTGAAGTCACTATGTTTCAGATGCCAGGAAGACAGCTGGCTGCATACCAGCCTTCCTGCTCAATTTCTAATTTCAGCACTGAAACCAGCTTCACTTGACATAAGGAATGACAATAAACAAGCCAGAAAACATACAGCTAGGCCTTCCAAATCTTCTCCATCACTCAGAACTGCAGTGTGTTTACTTGGCATCTATTCAGATCTGAGGAAGATAAGCCGGTAGCTTTCACTAGACTGCACCAGAAGTCACTCAGAAGTCCAATGAAACTGGATCTCGACAGAAACATACAGTGCAGCTATGATAATACTGAGAGGAACATTCTCACAATCAGGTCCGAGAAGAACAAACTCATAGACTACTTCGTGTTGTAACAGAAAAAAAAAGGTTTGTGACAACCAGAGAAATATGAGAAGCCTAACGCCTAAAAAAGTTTTTCTTCTCTCTAAGGACACTAGGACTACTCTGAAGGGATGGTCATGCAGAAGAGAAACACGCAAAACTGAACTCCCACTTTGTCAGCTTACCTGCAGTGCAGCCTTCTGCTGTGCTGCGATGTGCTGCTGCTCGGCGTGATCACGGAAGTCCTTGTTCAGCGGCGACCTTGCAAGTGCAATGCTGCAAGAAAGAGGGGCACCACGGGTACGAAATCAGACACGAGCGATTCTTAGAACGGTGGCTTTGTATTTCACCCTTACTACCCAGAGAGTGTCCTAATAATCGCAATGAAACTGTTGCACCAACCAGAGCTTCAAAGTCTTCATCACAAGAGGTTCAGTTGTTTGACAGTGGGCAGCACAGCACTGCCTTTGATAAATGCATTTCTTTTTATTACATAACCTAAATAGAGATCCTCTGATGCCAGAAAAGTTAAATTGATTTGGCCTCTGTACCTCAGTTCAGCTTATGCTTGAATTTAATAAGACAAAACAGCTTTTCCAAGCTTTTATGGCCTAAGAATGTTAATCAAAAAATAAGAGAAAAAAAGCAGCAGATCACAGAATCACAGAGTGGTTGTGGCTGGAAGGGACCTCTGGAGACCATCTACTCCAACCCCCCTGCTCAACCAGGGTCACCTAGAGCATGTCACCCATGACTGTTTCCAAACAGGATGTTAGTATGATGCTAGTGCTCCAGATAGGTAAGATGAGCCCACATTAGTGAAGACCACCATGAGAGTTCTACAGCAATGCAACAGACAGCTACGTCTGATCAGGACTCTGAAGGCAGGCAGTGGAAGTCCACCTCTTCTCAGTCACACAGCCAGTAATATGGAAAGCATCACCTGAGCTTTCCCAGCAGTTTCTATGTCAACTGCTGGGTAACTCAGATTTTCAAAAGCAATGATTCTCATGATGAGATCAAATCTACACCCCAGTGAAAAATAGAAGCTTAGCAACAAATCTCTGAACAGAACATTTTATTAATTTCACTCCTGGAAGAAAGGGACTACTCAGTTTATTTAAAGCATATTATTTTGAGTTATTTTTAAGGTGCTTTAAGGTATTTTAAGGTGAGTTATTTTGCATCTTTATCCTCAAAGTTTTCAATATGATTTTCATATATTATCTTAAGACGGTTAGAAATTTACACTTTTAAAGACGACTCTTTTAACTAGATTTCCATATAAGAGATGAATTCCTTGTTAAATAGCCCATGACACCATTTTCCTTTATTTGGATCAAACATTCTCCTGCTAAACTTGCACAATCTCTCAGGTCTCATTTCTAATCACTCTGGAGCCCAAAACCTCTGGCACAACTTCCCTACCATACAACTGTCATTTGCCCAAAAATCATGCGTCAGTCCTCCATGCCCCGAATGGTTTGGCTGTTTGTGTTTTTTCCCCTTCTTCAAAATCAGTAAACTGCAAAACTGCACACCAGAATGTGGAATTTGTTTCTTTAAAGAAACCAGAAAAGAACCTCTGCTGGTCCTGCAATGATGTATGAAAGCATTGCTACCAGGAACCAAGTGCTGTACAAATTAGTTTGGGAATGTATCTTCTTCTATAATCCATAATTGTGCTCAAATAGGACCTGTGTACAAAGTCACTTAGGACTATTTCACTGATTTCAAATATATCTCACACTTTTGTCAATAAAATGATGATAAAGGTGGCCTGGAATCTCTTAAAAAACAAAAAATAAATATAGAAAGAACAGATTATTTGTTCAGAGCAAGTAACTCTTCTACAGATCTTGTATGTAACATAATGCATCTAGAACATGGCACTGCGCTGCCCTCAATTCACAACCGCCCAAAAGCTCAAACCATTCTGCACTTCTCCATGTAAGTTACAGTGTGACTCTAGCTACCTTTATGCGATAAAAATGCCTTTTTTTTTTTTTTTTTTAAGCTTAAACAGGGGAGATCCTAATTACACCTCCAAAACTCAAATTAGATCATTATGTCTTACAGTGTAGAATCATTCTTATAACATGATGTCTTTTATAAAGAAAAATGCAGCAATATAAACTGGCTTGGTCTTGCACACAGACTTTCAGGGAGATTGTATTAATTTACTTCTTGCCCTAAGTATTTGTCACTAAAATATACTACTCTTGAAATCAATATTCTGTTATGTACACTCCTTAGAGGATTTTAGGTTAATAATTAAATTCTTTCTGGGTGCCTGTTCCCTGAATTTAAGAGAGATTTTTATGCATTTAAGTAAGCATATCTGCTTCTCTCTACCTCAAATGAAAAATATATATATAAAAAAATGGAGGCAGTAAACAATTCTAAATTCAAATGATATCCTTGTTATTGAGGATAGTCTGCACAAATTTCTGGTAATTTTTTTTACAAACACTTACAGCTTACTTATTAAATACAAAACAAAAAGACTTATTTTTCTTTGTTTAAACCAGCAATGTCCATACAGCGAATAAGAACATAAAGTACCTGGCTCCAGGGTGATTGGTGGAAGACTGATTTTGCATAAGCAACTTTCTCTTCTCCTTGTCTAGTTCTGCCAGGATTGCAACTCTATTTTTATTCTGAAAACCTAGAGGGAACAACAGAAAAATATTACACACATTTGCTTTATTTCTGTGTGCCAACTCTAACCTTGTGAAAATAGTCTCTGCACAATGTGACAGTATGATAAATTTATTAATCTTCAAAATTTTCCACCAATCTGAAAGGCTATTCATATACTGGTTTTATTTTTCAACTTCACATTTTATGACATGAAATAGCTTCCTAAGGTACCACACATACTAATGCATTTTAAGATACAGCGTTCAAGCTTTGGTGCTGGCCGGGGCATATGACCAGTCGAGGCCCTCCCAGAAAAATTAAACTTATCAGATTCTATATGTAAAATCCAATCATTAAATTACAGATGAATTATAGTAACAGATAAATGCACTCAGAAGGCATAATTTATTATGCCAGTAAACAGAAACTACATCACAAGTTTTGCATATGTAAGAAGATCAAGACCACCAGTAAGCTTGCACTTACCCAAAAACACAATTATAATCTTTTACTCATATCTGTGCAGAAAGATTTCAATTTTAATATAGAGTATCCTTACATATATGCTCTACTCTTGTACTGCGCTTGAAGTTGGACTAGGATAGAGAAGCAATGGACACAAAACAAGAATGTGGCCATTATTTTTTTTGTGTACTGTTCCCTGAACTCAGGCAGCGATTTTCAACACTAAAAAAGGGGTCAGGAACCAGCATTCCTCCTGGCTTGGATAAAAAAAAAAAAAAAAAGAAAACAAAAAGTGATGCCATTCATGTGTTTTCAAAGTTTTTTTCTCAAAGACAATTGTACTCTGTACAAATGAGAATGTGGCAGAGCTGTTACACATAAATGGGAACACATGGACAAGGATCTTGCTGAATCTCTATCTTAACTATTCTCTGACTATAAAATAAACTAGAAATTCAAGTCCCTCTCTTTGCCCACTGCACCACAAACAGAACAATAGGGGAACACAACCACAAAGTGGATTCTTTTAATATTTTAACATTACTTTATGTTACTAAGATCACTCCTCATATTAAAGTTGTAGAAGATGTTTTTCCCTGTAATTTGCAGCTAGTCTCTAAATACGCTCAAGCCATTATTCTGTCATAAAGGGTTTATTTTACTTTAAATGTATTCAAGGCAGAGTTGTTTCCACTGAACATTGTGTTGTGTTCTCCTACCCAAAGTATTACATTTTAATAACATCAGCCAAAAATGGTAGCCAACATGCTATTAAGTATTAAGGGGAAGATTAGCATGATTATGTAAGAATATTTGTAATTTATTTACAGTGCTATGCTTAAAGTTCAGTCTTTTCAAGAGGATTTTAAATGCTGCTATTACATAATCCAATTTTCATTTGTTAGCATGGATCAATGAAGGAATATATTTATGACATATAAACCTTCTGCCCTACATAATAATTTACATCATTCTTGCCTCACTATTAAAGCCTCACCCTCTCCTGTATCTAGTATATACAACCCTGAGCAACAGTGTCTATTGCTCCTTGCTTTTATTTATTAGTGGAGTTATTTGATTATACTTTAATGTATCTTTACACAAGATTATTCTGGATCATCCCTGCATTTGTTCACAGATTCTTCATTAAGCTTCTTTAACTGATATTTTTCTATTTTTTAATTTCTTCAAAATGCATCAGCTCAATTTAGAAATCTGTTTTTAAAACAGATTGCTTCAGAGTCCTTCAGTATTTCTCTGCTTTCAAAATATTTTTCAAACATCCTGCCTTCGTGATTAGGTCAAAAATGTGTTCACATGTATACTAAAACACAGTCTCCAATAAGTGTCTACTACTGTACTAAATAATCTAAGACACTCATATTTTTTTCAGACTGAATCTCAAGAGATATAAAAATGAACACACAAAGATCTACTTTATTTATTCATCTCTCTTATCTGTATCTGCAACAGGACAAGATTTTAATAAAGAACACCATGTTGTTCAGAAGCTCTTTGGCCAATGTATGCTTAAGAAATACAAAGGCAGAGACACATTGCTATCAAATTAAAGTCCAGTCCTTCTTGGATGCAGCTGGTACAGATGTCCCTTTCTGATAAATTCTGTGGAATGATACTGTAATAGGAAGACTGAAGAATCTCTAAGAGAGCCTTTTCTAAAGTTACCTACACAGCATTCAGCCAAAAGTTGACAATTTGACACATTAGCGTCCTTCTGCTAGTGCTTGTTTATCCTGAATATGCATAAATGAAAATCCATGCTTTAAGTCAAACAATACGGGGGCTGAGGAAAGAAAAATAAGACACATTTTTAAAATTTATGTTGTTGACAGGTAACAAATAAAGACTACATGTGTTTACATTTATCATGAAGCAGATGGTATGATTCAGTAAGCTTTGAGACATATGCAAGAATTTTTTTAAAAAGCTATTTTAAAATGATCAGAGATGTTTTTACACATATTCAGAACCACAGAACCATACAAGAAAAAAGCCATCCTCATTAACATCACTCAACATCTATTAAAAGAAGCATAGAGATTTTCAAACAAAGTAGCTTCTTACTTAAGTGCTTTAAGTTTAGCCTATAGTATTGGGATAGAGCTGCATAACATTTCATTATCTTAAAGCACTCCACAAGTATTCTCTCTGCTCTGCAGACAGAAGAGTCCCAAAGCAAAAAGATCTGTTCAAGGTAGCTAAGGAAAACGGCAGAACAACGGCAGCATCAGATATCAAATTCAAGACTTGGACCCTAAGATGCTTCTCCTAAGATACGAGAACAAAGACATTTACTGTTTAAGTATATCCTCTTCAAAACTTAATTTCTTGACATCATCATGGAATTGTGCACTTCGTGCAGATGCTAAAAACTTGCTTGCAACAGTTTTTCATGTGAAAGGCACGACAATACGAAAGGCTAGAACTCCTCCAAACGGTACATATGTCTTTAGGATCTCACAGCAGGCTTCTCTCTTAACATACACACCAAATCTGACTGCCCACCTCCTTATGCCAGTTAGTTTTACTAGACAGCTCAGCACAACAAGAAACAGTACTCCCTTTATGTATTTTGAAGTTCCTGCTTTTTATCTTTTAGCTTTTATCTGATCTGTTGGTTACTCCAAATTTATAATCAAGTTGGGTTTTTTTTGTAAAATGTATTATTTATCATTTACCAAAATGATAGCAAGGGCTGCAAATTGTATTTATGATACACTTTTACTTTCAAATATGTTTACAAATTTAAGCGTCCACTCTTAAGCTCTTCCTTCATGTATTAAAAAGCACAATCACTACAAATGTTACCTACTCCATTCAGAAAGCATTTCATAGCAATTTTTTTTTTTACTAAAGTACATGCTTTCAGAAACTGTAACCTTCATTAAATGAAATAGCAACGTCTGAAAAAGCAGAATCAGAAGAAGTTATAATTACATACCACTAAAAAGGTGGTTTAACTATATTTTGATTTTCTATTCTGCTCATAGCTACTGGCATCAAAGTATCATCTAAAGCTCTACTAGATATCAGTACTTAGCAGTAGCAACTTACATTCAGAAATGCTCTCACTGTGCCGCAGTGAAGCAAAGGCACATTAACAACTCAATGTATTAACTTGAACCGTTAAAGAATATATTAATAGTTCATCTGTCCCTCCTGACAATAACTACATGCACAGGTGAATATACACCACTGGTGCTTTATGGATGTAAAGTTCTCCGGGGAATGCAAACAGATTCACCACAGCCCTCAAGCACTAAGCTTGCACACAGACCAGACTCAGATGCAGACAGTGGCATAGTTAGCGGATGATGACATCTTCCCGTGTCAAACAGCATTTTTAGCACAGACTCCTTGAAAGAATCCACCTGCCCTGACTGCGTTAAATGAACGTGCTCATATACCTTTAGGCCAGGAGGATAAATAACCTCCAGGACATAAAGAAACCTTGCAGAACTGTTGCAACTTCAAGCTTGTAATTCGGCACTTATTTCAAGAGTTGTTTTTTCCAACACACAGAACTTTTCCTTTAGAAAACTTTAGTCCTTTCTGAAGCAGCATATGTAGTTCTCCCACCTGTGGGGACCTAAAGGAAATGTTCCTTCTTGAGTGCAATCATCCTTCTCTCATGTCAGGAAGGCTTCCTCTAGAGAAGCTCACACATGGAATTTGTTTTTAACATGCAAGGTGCTTTGCTCCTGCTATGGGCAAAAACATTACCATAGCAACACTGTTAAGGCACACTGTAAAAGTTAAGGGCATGACAATACTGTGAAGTATTACTGCAGAAGTGTACTACCCAATATTTTGAAGTATTTGTTTTAGTTTAGAAAACGATTTTTTTTTCCCCTAAAGTGGACCACTATGATCTATGAACACATCTTGTGGACAATATGCATCACGATAACATAATTATCTTTTTTCCTTATTTTTGAACACTACCAAGTGCGGTTGGTTTCATGCGGTAATCAAGCCCTTAAGTAAGGCTTTCATATGATTCTATTTTGCTTCACTGTGCTCCTATACAGCTCCTCATCATTGAAAGTCTTAATAAAAGGAGTGCTTTCATAACCAACTCCAGTGAAACAGAACTAAAGGAAATACAGTCTGCAAAATCTTAACCTTTACAACACAATTCTGCAGTTACTAAGACACTGAATTAAGCCCTACTAAAAAACTACTAAGTGGCAATTAAATGGAAAGAAACAATGCAGAACAAAAACACCTGTTAACCTGTGCAGAAGGCACATTTTTAACTCACTGTTACACATAAGTCAGAGCAAGCTCTGCCATTCATAGCCCTTCCAAACAATGTTTCAGTAAATCCCTATTTATTTTGTCCAGAAAGAAAGGAAACAGAAAAAAAAATGCTTGAACTTGAACAGTATACATGCCATGCAGCAAGTTGAAGATGCAATATTTGAAGACAAACAGATGAAGGAGACACTTAGACTTGTGAAAGCTTTGGCCAGGAAGGCAGAATTCTTGAAATATTCCTTATAATTGCCTGCTTCTTTATGTCAGGTGCATTATTTCTAGGCTTATGTGGGCAAATAAAACTCACATATTTGTTTGCCTGCTTTGTGAAAATAATTTTCATATTATAATTGTGCAACTCCTTTCATAAGCCTCTAGGAAGCATCTCAAAGTATAGAAGTGGTTTCTAACTATTTAAAAATAAGCCGCTGGAATTTGGGGGGAAGAAAGCCCAAGGCATTGCATCACTGATCACTCTTCTATATTTCCTGGTAGATAAATATTAATTATTTAGGATAATAAATATTAATTATTTAGGATAAACCCCTTATCTCAACATTCTCAACCTTGCAGTGATGCTGACCTACTACACCCAGAAGATTTACCACTGTGTAACAGAAACCTAGATTAAATTTTGTAAAGAAACAACCACTTCCAAGCAGGAGCACTTGTCCTCAGCATTTTTGCAAAGACCAACAAGCTTTCCATAACCACATTATTTTGGCTAAAAGGCAAGTACAGTGAGTCTCTTGATTCTGCCAACTTTCTTCTGTGCTTGTTGTGAAAGCAGGAAAGAAAAACAGAGAGATCTGGTACCTCTTCAAAGTGGATATACTTTACGATTAATTATGGCCATGGCGAGACATTTTTCCTTGGGAAAGATTTTCATAGCCAAAGTATACAAAGAAGTTGCAAGTTGCTGAGATACAAAACTCTGGATTATTTTCTCATAACCAATAAGGGAGTAACCATACCTAGGAAGCTTTCTTCCCCCCAGCTCTTTCACAGAAAAAGAGAGAAGCTGGAGTTTAAGACCCTCACAAATAACCTCCAGAGGGCGATTTAAACCTCTCTGAATTTACTGCACGGCCCCAGTCCCTCGGCTCCAAGTTCGAAATCTGTTAGCTAGGAATAGAATATTTCCACATCTTCAGTGATTTTAAGGATGCAGTTCTGATGTGCTATCACACAAATAAACATTCAAATGAGTTAACAGTATGATTTAATTTAGCTTGCCCACTTGATATCTGTCCTTGACTGAGATTTTGCCCATAGTCCCTCCCCTTGAACACTTGAATCAAAACTTACCTTGTCCTGAAGGATTTGCTGCCATCCTTCAGGCTTCAGTCCTAGTCTTATTCAGCTGCAGTAGGAGCTTTTAATCTACAAACATCTGCAGAACAGACACAAGGTAACATATTCTTATTTTAAGAAGCTTGGATGCATTCTATCGTACAGTATATAATTATGCCAACTGTTAAAAGGCATAAACTAAATTCAATACGCATGTTGTTTACACCATTTGCTATTTATACTGCTCTAAATGACATCTGTTAAGGCATCAAGAGTTACAATCCATTGTTTTTTTGTGATCTCCTAATATCTCATGGGTAAATTTCACTATTATGCCAGAGAGATATAAACACCATTTTCTATCCAAATTATTGAACTTTCCAACTATGTCAGACTATGTTAAACTAAAACTCCTTTGGATACTAAAGCCCTCGAAAAACTCAAAATGCACCTTGACTCAGGAACACTGCTTATTTAGGAACAGGCAACTTAAAATCCACCTACTGAACCTGCACTGCTTGCTGTTATTGTCCTCACAAACGCAAGCAGGGAAGAAAGAATAAACCTGCTCCTTGCTACTGTGCTTAAAAGTCTGGTAGGTTACTTTGGACCACAGTTTCTGCTTACACTGATGCTCCAGGCTGTGATTTGCACCATTGAAGGGCTCCACTTTAGCCAAAGGGAGGGAAGTTCTGCCAGATTTCAGCATGAGACCAAAAAAAAGAGGCTATACCCTAAAATAGGGTATAGTTTAGAAAGTGAAAAATATGCTTCTGACTAGTAACTTTAGAACAAAGATAAGTTAAACAGCCAGCACTGCCTAAACAGCGTCATCTATGCAGTATTTGGAGCGTTTATGTTGCTCAGGATGTATTTCTTTAAAGCAGCATGGTCTGAGCTGCCTGTCGAAGGTGAGACTCTCCCTGCAGCATCTGAAGTGCTCTCTCTGCACCTCCTCGCCCCTGGGTTCAGCATGGCCTGCCTGGCACAACCGTGACACTGCTCCTGGGCGAGGAGCCTTTAGGAAGGCCACGCATCACACCCGGCACCACTGGCACGGCCCTACTGAAGGCAGCAAAGACCACGGGCTGCTACGGAGCAGAGCCAGGGTCCCCGCCGGCCT